GTTTTATATCTGGGTGCTGGAAACAAAACCCTGGTCCTTTCTAGGAACAATAAGTGCTGTGAACTGCTGAGCTGTTTTTTTTTTTTTTTTTCAACCCCTAGAAACTTAAAGAATTAGTGAACAGCAAGAAAAGATAAGAAATTTTCTTAGATTAAAATATTACCTAAAGTAAGAAGGGAAAAAAAAGTGACTGGAATTAGAGGATTGTATATTACATGAAATAAGTGAGTCCTCCCCCAATCCCACCCCTAGTTTATGTGGAATCTCATGGAATTAGAGACCAGAAGTGCTAGTTAAAATGTTAAATTTCTAGTCTAGTAGACTAGGGATAGGAGCGGAGAAAAAGTACAGGGTTAGTAATTAGATACAAAAGCAGATAGGAGGAATAGTTCCATTACTGTAGCTAAGTGAAGTGACTACACATACAGTTAACTGATTTACTTTGTATTTAAAAATAACTGTAAGAATAGGTTTGAGTGTTTTAAAAGTAAAGGATGACAAATGGGACTGGAAGGAAAGCTCAGTTTGGAAAGTATTTGTCTCACAAGCCTAAGGACCCAAGTTTGATTTCCTAGAACCCAAGGAGAAAAAGCTGGGCATAGTCGCATGCATCTGTAATCTCAGCATTGGGAATGTGGTAATAGAAGGATCCCTAGGAACCCACTAGCCAGCCAAGTCTACTGGGCAAGTTCTAGACCCTGTGTGAGGTTCACAGGTTACCCTTTGGCCTCTTTGTGCATGTGCTCGTGTATGTGCCTTGGGTGTTGTTCTTCTGGAGTCATTTACTTGTTGGCAAAGTGTCTCTCATTATAACCTGGAGACCCCCCCCCCATTAAGATAGGCTGAATGGCCTGGGATCAACAAGGATTCTTGTGTTTCTGCTTCTCTACCATGCTGAGGTTACAATCACATGCCACCATGCCTAGCTATTTGTATGAATTGTGAAGATTGCAGCCCAAGTACTTCATGAACTGAGCCATCTTCCCAGCCGTTTCCTCATAATTTCCTCTTCCTCTCTTTGGGTTCTTGATTTGTTTGTGCTTTCATCAGCACTCCCTGTCAGTATCCTGTTTGGCTGCTTGTCTCTGACTTTCAGTGTAGTAATACTCTGAGATGCTGCCCCTTGTTTTTTTGAGTTTTTGAATTGTACTTGGTTCCTTGGTTTTAACAATTTCCTTGGTGTCCATAATTCTAAAATTGGAATATAACATCAGTTGCATATTTAAATTTCAGTAGTTCAAAATAAAGCCCATTGCTCCTGTGTCCCTATCACCAATTTTTTTCCTCTATATTGTTTTCAGCAACATCTACTCAGCCAGCCACAAGAAAACCTCAACATCATTGATCTCTCCCTTGGTCCAAATTCCTCTGGAGTTCTGATTCTCCTGAAGGGTGCTTATGGTCTCCTTAGCCGATGGCCCTCAGAAGCACTCGTCAAGATCCAACATAACTTCTGGCGTTCCCAAACATACTTATTCTTCCAAAGCCTTTTTATAGCATTTGCCATATTTCAGCACAGTATTGTGTCCTGTGGGTTAGTGCTGTTTCCTTTAACGTGTACAGGTTTCTATAGTAGTACTAAATAGGTGATGAGTAACTTTTGTGAAATTTCAGAAATCTCAGATCCTTTTATTATTTATGTGTTATTATAACAATATTTTTAAGATTATGGTCTTTTGTGTGTAAAATCTTTTGAAACTTCTTGTCTGCATAATAGAATTCTGACTCATAACATGGTAAAAGTCCTAAATAAGTTGGCAGTCTCTCTCTCTGTCCCCTTTTTTATTTTTCTAAATGTGTATTATTCTTGCTACATAACCACATGTTCTCTGATAATATTTTTTATTTTATTGGGAACTTGTGGGTTTTGTAAAGGGAGATTGGAAAATAGCAAGGAGATCCAGGAATGAAAGGAAGACTGACGATGATAAGGAATAGAAATGATCAAAAGGTATATAAGTATGAAAATTCACAACACAGGCCACTATTCTATACAGTGAATATACACCACCAAAAAAAGTGCTGCTTTCTATAAATGATTATTCTTATATACAAGTATACAGGTTGATACATTTTAAGAAATAATCTTTTATATTCCTTATATTTTCCTTTGGTGAAAAACTTAACATTTCAGTACTTAAGTAAACTCTATCTGTGACATATCTCCAGATCATCCTATATAAATTCATCACTCTGTCTCCAAAATGTTGTTTCTATACACATCATAAAAATGTGTTACAGCTTGCTGTGTAAATATGCATGCATCTCCCTCCTCATTGAGCTAGAATTGCCTGATAATAGGGATTATGTCTTTTTTTTTTTTTTTTTTTTTTTTTTTTTTTTGTCGTTTTGTTGAAATTTGATTGTTATGTAGATAGCAACATGCAGTTAATGAGTTTGGAGATGAGTAAATATTCTGAGGCCTTACCACAGGGAGAGCTGTATATAAGAGAGTATGTCTTAAGGGTTAATGTACCCCTCTTTTTCTTGTCCTACTGCTTCACGGAGTTACCTTAAAATAATTGATGGTCATTAAATAAATACTAGATTGAAGTTTTTGTTTTTTTTTTTTTTTAAACACCAGGATGAGCTTTAGGAACGGCAATCCAGAAAGGTAGATCATGAATCCGGAAAGCTGTGTTAAATGAAAGCCAAGAAACACATGTTGTAAATAAGAACACAGGCAGTGTCCTAACCTCCAGAACAAGAAGGGGAGCTGACTATACATAGATCATTGGATCTGGCAACTACAGATCACTGCTTGTCCTTACAGAGTGAATTCCATAAAGTAGACATCATATGGCAGTGAGTTTCGAAATACAGATTCTTTCTCTTAATTATAAAACTTGAGCTAGCTGATACTTTTATGGAAGTTGGCTGGCAGACAAATTGTAGCAATACCATCCAAATAAAGACCTAGAATCCTGAATACATTATATTAATTTAGAGAGTCTCTTATCTCTTTTGTCAGTGGCCAGCCAGTGGTAGGTAGAATTGATATTTTTTTAAAAGAAATTTAGGTACTTAAACCACTACTGCAACAACATTTTCAATCCTTGTGGCATGTTAGACTTATTTTTTTCCTAATTTTTTGATCCATTCTTCAGAAATAAAAACATAATACCACCTCATTCTGTGGTGTTCCAGATTTGAGAAAACATGAAAATAAAGTAGGGACCATCATAGTTTAGATCTGTCTTCGAAAATGTTTGCTACTAATGTATCTAATATTTTCAGTTTTTTGTAGCAATATCAATACTGTTTCTCTCTTGTCTTCAGTTGGGCCAGTAAGTCATATACAAAGTTGCCTTAAGAAGTACTTTGAATAGAAATAGGAGTAGAATAAGGGAAGAAAGAATGCATGTATAAGAAACCTGTGTGGCCAGGTGGTGGTGGGGGGTCACACCTTTAATCCCAGCACTTGGGAATGCACTTGGGAACCTGAGGCAGGTCTATCTCTGTGAGTTCCAGGCCAACCTGATCTACAGAGCAAGTTCCAAGACAGCCAAGGCTACAGAGAGAAACCCTGTCTCAAAATTAACTAGCATATGTTGAACAAGCCTTGGTACGCTATAATTCTTAGCAATTTATTATGAGTTTGTGATCTATATGGAAGTAGTTATTTTCTGATCTTACAGTTGAAGGCACATATTTTTTATTGATTTTTTTTTTCTTTAGACATAGACATGTATTGAGTATCCTCTATGACATCTTGGTAGTTTATTCCGGTCTGTAAATAGTCTTTCATTCTTGGCAGATTTCTTTTTTGTTTTTTCCATTTATTATGTCTTTATTTTCCACAGAAATTTTTCTTCACATTTATAAACTAGATACTGATACATTTATTATCAAATCTATATAATTTGATTTTGTGAGCACATGCATTTCTTATAATCCATACAAACAAATCAAACCTGTAGTACTTAATGTTTATACAGAGCAAAGATATTTTAGACTAGTATGGCAGATTTCTTAATGAAGTATAATAGTTCAACAAAGATTGATAATGAGTTATGATTCCTCAGCTCTTGATGTCTGTTGTTATAAGAAATTAGATGTTTTTATTTATGCAGTACTTAGTGTTGTTTGTTTAGCTTTTTGTGATATCAGGAATGGAGCACAGGGCCTTGCAAGTGTTAGGCAAACAGTGTCCCCCTAACTGTGTCCCTGTTGAGTAATGAGATAGGATGTTAATCACTGAGTGATGGGACTTACAGTTTCATAAAGCTAGAACTGAGTTTATGGTTACAGTAAGTACATGGTAAATATTTTTTGACTGTTGGCATACCTTTGATTAACTAGGAAATAATAGGGCTTATAGTTTATATGACCATAGGAGAGTATAGTTAAAAATGAAGATAAAATTATTGTACATTACAAATCACTCCACATCTGGAGTGATGATAGCCTCATAGTCCAGTTTGAGCATTGTTAACGTAAATGTGCAACTTTAAAGTCATCAAATTCTTGCTATAGAAAATGTTATTTAAAACTTTGCAAGTATTTCTAGAAATATTACAAATAACATTTGTAGACTATGACTGGCTCACGTAAGTGAGTTTAAGAAAATACATATTTTTCTTTGAAATCAAATATAACTTAAATAATTAATTAAAAACACCATCCCCATGCTTGTGTTCATTTATCTTTGACAATGTCAATATTTATTCCTTGTAAGAGTGGAACAGCAGTATAGTTAGAAGGAAATGCAATCTAATGATGCATACTTTTTCCTCTGGTACCTGAAGGTTAAATGGGTAGCAAGCAGAATGCCTTAAACAAGATTGGTATATTGATTAAAACGCTGATTTAACAGCTCGCAGTTTCCCCTTGGAAACCTGCAAAAGATAAGCCAGCTGCTGTCTTAGAGTGCTCAGTGTCCACTGAGAGTACACTATCTATCATCACAATATGGTGATGAGAGGTGTTTTATGTTTGTGTTAATTTCCCCCACTAAATCAGTAATTATTACAATCCTGTCCCTGCTGTTTACCCTGCAGCTGTTTTTCCATTTGTCGAGAGAGCGGGTGTTCTCTGAGGACCGCACACGTTTCTATGGTGCAGAAATTGTCTCTGCTTTGGACTATCTACATTCTGGAAAGATTGTGTACCGTGATCTCAAGGTAAAAAAAAAAGTAATCAAAATTTGTTTTTGGTTTTTTTTTTTTTTTTTTTTTGCAGAGGCTATAGGGACAAACAAAGTAATTACACAGTTACATAGTTTTGAGAAAAGCACTCTTCTTAGGAATGTTGTTTGCTGTAGTTGATCTGATATTTTATTCACTGATATGTAAGTGGTTCTTTTATGTTTTGTTTTTTGGTGTATGAAAATTCTATTGACTGTACAAAACTGATCAATCAAGAGTTATTTCATTTCCCTGTAAATGCTATAATTATAGAAATGATAAATCTGAGTAAAGTCAGATAATTTGCAACTTCATTATTTTGTTCAATCATCATAAAATATTTATAAATAAGCCTCAGTAACAAGGTTATTGGAAGGAAAACATTCATTATTTATTGTGTTAACTTTTTATAGGATTATATTTCTTATATTTTTCTATAAACTCAGTAGTTTGCTTAGTTTTTCACATGTCAAAACCCAGTATTGTTTGGTTGGAATAAAAATCTGGACATGGCTGAGCTCTTTTGTGATGAGGTCCTTAAAATGTCAGAATATGTACACATTCTGTAAGGCAAGGTAGTAAATATTGTAGTCTTTTCTGCCTGTCAAGTCTCTATTGGAACTATTCAGCTCTGCCACTGAAAGGTAAAAGCAACCCTAGATATAAATCAATGTTTGGCTATCTTCCCACAAATCTTTACTTACAAAAGCAGTCAGTGGTTTAGATTTGATCTACACTCTGTAGTTTACTGCTCCCTGAAGGAGATCATGGAAGCAAATGATAATTCTTATGTAGTTATGAATAATGTTGACTATGCTAAGGAATCTAATCAGGGCATATTGTCAGCAAATTCTTGATTTTAGCATCTTCCTTAAAATGTAAATCATAAGGCTGGGAGTACAGCTCAGTGGAAGGGTACTTGCCTAGTTTAAGTATGACACTGAGTTCCATCCCTGCACTTAGGCACCCAGTGCTGGGCTTGGGATAGGGAAGCTAGAAGTAGTAGTCTGTATCTATAGTCCCGCCTTCTTGGAACACTGAGTGTTCCTTGGGCAATTTAGTGAGACTTTGACTCAAAATAAAAATACTGAACTTGGTGATAGCTCAGTGGGAAAAGTGTTTTCTGTGCAAGCAAGTGAACTTGAAGCCAAACATAGGCACATATGTCTGTAACTCTAGCACTGGGACGGTGAAGACAAGCAGACCTTGGGGGATATCTGGCCAGCCAGTGTAGCCTAAAAGGTACGCTTCAGGTTCAGTGAGAGATTTTGTCTCAGAAATTAAGTGGAGAAGTAATTAAGGAAGAAAGTCCAACATCAGCTTCCTGTCTCCACATGTTCTCACAGGTACAATAATAATAGAAATTAACCAAGTGATTTGTATTTAGATTGAATTTTTGGAACTTGAAATAAGGTAGAATTTATCACTCTTATAGGAACTTCCCCAGCACACACATACATGTGCATGCAGACATACATTGCACACACATACCAACTGTGTGGGTGTGGGTGGGTGGGTGGGTTTGCCTAGCATGGATAGGTTCAGACCCCAGTACTTAGGAAAAAATGGAAATCATGTGGTAATGTTTACCTATTAAAGTTGGATTGACAGTTGCCTTACTAGTCACATAACTAGTTCATTTAAAGTATAATTTGGTTGTAGAAATACAGGTTACATGAGATTTTTGTGGAATTACATTTTTGTATGAAATGGGGTATGTACCTAAGAAATAATGTGTATCTTACTACTGCTATCTTACTTATAAAACTATTTGGGACTCTCTTAATTTCTATCCAATTATGTAAGCAGGTATCTAGTTTTTTTTCAAGATGTTCTTACCACTCTTATTTATGTCTACACAGTAACCTCCAGGTCAGCTGAAACTACAAAATGAAACACTTAAAAAAAGACAGCCTCCGCTTCCCATTTTGTAGACGGAGTTTCTGTCCCGTCTGGTCCCGCAACCATTTAATCCCAAATAAACACACAGAGGCTTATGTTAATTATAAACTGTTTGGCCGATGGCTCAGGCTTCTTACTGGCTACCTTTCTCTTAATTATTGACTCATAACTATTAATCGGTATTTCTACATGGCATTATTTATAGTTCTTGCTACTTAACTGCTTTGTTATATGTAATTTTACAATGTTAAAGTTAAAACCTCATTTTTATTTAGACAGAAAAGAGGAGATGATGTGGGATGTCCTTCTGTATGCTGTAAATATATGTTTCTCTTCTTGATGGTTGAATACATACTGATTGGTTAGTAGCCAGGCAGGAAGTATAGGCAGGGCTACTAGACGAAGAGAATCCTGGGAAGAGGAAGGCATAGAGGAACTGCCGGAGAAATAGCATGTAGCTACCAGGATGCTGGGGCATTCTCTGGTAAGTCAGGACCATGTAGAAATATTTAGATTAATAGAAATAGATTAATAATTAAGAGAGAGCTAGGCAATAAGAAGCCTGAGCCATTATCCAGACAGTTTGTAGTTAATATAAGCCTCTCTGTGTTTACTTGGAACTAAATGGCTGCAGGACCAGGAGGGATAGAAACTCTATCTACACAAATTGGTCAGTCTCAGTAGACTCTGATCTTATTCATGAATTGGTAACTTTATATACACTTCAGTTTGAGATGCCTACAGTAGGGGCGTGTGTGTGTGTGTGTGTGTGTTTGTGTGTGTGCATGTGCGTTCATATGTGTACACGTGCGTTCATGTCCATGTCCCAGAAGACAACTTGTGGGAATCAGTTCTTTTCTTCTATCCCATGGGCTCTAGTGGTCAAGTGCCTGTACACACTGAACTGTCTCTCTGATTCCTGTTTTTCTTTCTTAAATACTGCAAATAGTGTTATCATTCATACTGGAAGCAAAGCTTCATGTCATATTAACTTAGGACATTTTATTGTTTGGTCTCATAGTAACAAGTAATTGCTAAAACTTTTGTTACTTTTTTACAAAGTGACTTTGCTTTATTTACTAGTGTATGCCATATAAAATTCTGTTTTACTAAGGACCTCTGTAATAAGTATTTAGATTATTTAATAAAAACTGATACTGTTTCAGGATACTATAAAAATTTTGAAGAGATCTCTTAGAAGACTCTTCAGTGGTGCAAGTTGTATATTTTCTTTTCTACATAGCTATTACTTAGATGCACAATATTTATTTACAGGGACCATGGCTGTCCATGTCCAAACAAGGCTAGACAGGACATTTACAGACATGAATGTAATGATTTAGAATCAGTCATTAATTTCTCTCGATGATTATAAGGAGATAGAATGACAGGTACATTGCCATTATATAATATATTGAAATGTCCAATTTTATTTTCTATCTAAACAGAGTTTTAGCTGTTTAGGATACTAGTAAGAGAACTCTCCAATTGTCCTCTTACTACAGACTTATATTTTTTTCTAAGTCCACTGTTACTCTTCTGAAATAATGGTATATTTTGTAATACAGAAAGAGTGCCTGTTTGCATGTTGAGTTGAAGATAGATTCTGTAATTCTCACATCTTTAAATAATTTTTAAAAATGTATATGTATGTATGGGTGTTTTGCTTACACACATACACACATATATGTATATATACATAAATAGATAGATATATATAGATATAGATATATCTGTGGATCACATGCATGCCTAGTGCCTATATAGGATAACAAAGGGTTTTGAGAAGCAGAGTAGCTAGTCACTAGAGTTCTTACTTCTGTGGAACTCCAGACTAAAAAGAGGCCAAGCTCCTGTCTTTACCTACCATATATTCCTGTCTCACCAAGCCACCTGTCTGTCTGTACAAACAACCAAACCTCTAGATTAACTAGTGGCTAGCCCCACCCTCTGATCTTCAGGCAAGCTTTATTTGTTAAGAGTACAAACAAGATATCATGACAGGCATAGGCAAATATAATACATCTTTGCCCAGTTAAAGTAATATTCCACAACAGAAAAGCCATTAAATTCTCAATCAGTAGCAAATGATTATTTGTCATAATCTTATAGTTTAAATGTTTAACCATCTCATTGAATGCTTAAAACCCTTGCTTCAGATTGGTATTGTTATTTACCAATTATCTTATTGAAGAATTTTTATATTCTTCAACACATTAACTGAATAAGCACTAGTATGAATATTAAAACATATTATAAAATAATTAAGAACAGGGAATATAGGTTTTATTCAGCAAGGCACCTGACCTTTGGCATGTACCTTTATCTGTGGTGAGTTAAAGGAAGATGGATAAGGAGTGTGTTTAGAAGAGGCCCAGAGAAAAGACACACAACCATAGCAAAGAAAAGATAAGAAAAGATAAAAGATAAAATATTTCTTGGTTGGAATTAATAGTTAGTACTTAATAGTGTGCAAAATAGCCTTTATTTCAAAGTTGTAGGTTGGTATAAAAACAAAAGAAGGTTGTTAGCAAATGTATCTGAGTTTAGATAAAATAGCTTAATTTTTGGTTTTAATGGTATAGTTAGTGCTTTTTTTTTTTTTTAGCTTTCTGTAGGTAAGTTGAAGAAACAGTTACTCTTCAGAAGTATATTATATCTTGAATGTATTGAACATGAACTTTCAGTTCAATGAAGTAGACTGTTGAGGTGATGCTACAATCAAAAGACTATGTGCTGTGGTTTTTCCTTTGAACATAACTTGCTCACTTACATTTTTGACTATATAAAACATTAACATATTGCAGAAATGGTGCCTATGTTTTTGTATTAGTATATAACTTACCTGTGTTCATATGTGGTATTCTCTAGATTTCATATTAACTTCAGAGTTGTGAAAAATACATTGAAATGTTATCATATTAAAGTATCTATTCCTTAAATAAAAGTTAAGTATCCTGAACCTTGTTAAGGTGCTTTTCACACTTTATATTTCTTCTGTATGAGACTGTATGATCATGTCTCAGTCCCTACAGATCTCCATTAATGACAATCATAGTTTAGGTTTGAGTGGGTGGGTACACTGGTATTCTTTATTGTGTTGGCTTTGCAAAATTTCTTGTTCCCTTGGTATCTTACAACTCTTTTTTTTTTTTTTTTTTTTTTTTTTGAGGTGTGTGATTTTTGCCAAAGGTTAAATCTTTATAGTTCTCTTTGGTGTTTTCAGTTACAGTTAGATTCAGGGACTCCAGCCTTACAAAGAACATGCTTCACTTTTGATAGTCTTTTTTCTTTTTATGTTTAAAAGGGTTTTTTTGGGGGGGGGTTTCTTTTTAGTAAGAACTACAAAATGAATTATCACCTTTTCTTACAAAAATTAAACTTTCAAAAGAATGTTTCTGTAAACAAAAAGCAGTACATTAGCTGTTAGGAAGTATTGAAACTATAGGAAGATTTGCAGCTTTGAGATTGTGTAAATAATACTTTAAAAGAAAAAAGGAATTAATGTTGCTTGCAAAGATTGATTCTGATTAGGCCTTTATCCTTAGAACCCTCAGTAAGAATGGTCCTTAAGGCTATGCTATTTTTTCCACTGATGTTAAAGTCAATAATTTTAGCACAACAAATGTTTGATAAAAGATCCTTCATTTTACATGTGAAGTTATAGGACTTTCAAGGACTGATGGATCTATTAAATATAACTGTCTTTCCAGTATTTTCAGTACTCTACTAATCATTTTCTAAAACTGTTCTCTCGTTTAAGCTTATAGAATAATTATGCTGTTTTCACACACAGTTGGAGAATTTGATGCTAGATAAAGATGGCCATATAAAAATTACAGATTTTGGACTTTGCAAAGAAGGAATCACAGACGCAGCCACCATGAAGACATTCTGTGGCACACCGGAGTATCTGGCCCCAGAGGTAGGCCCAAGTCCCATTTATGGGGAAAATAATACTAATGTTTCTCAGGGGAAAACACATTTAATTTTTTTTTCAAGTTGTCATATTCCCTGCCTTTAAAAAAAATTTAATCAGAATAATTTATTTTGCTTTTAACTCATTTAATAGGGTATTTTAAAGCCATAGACTTGGAAATTAAATTATTTGGCTTGCAATCACATATGTTTTTAATAAAAGTAGATTAAATCAAGTTTTTTCTTGGCTATACATTTTATTTCTTGGTTATATTAATTTTACTTTGTTAAAATAGAATAATTGAATCATTTCAATAAACATATTTAATAGTTTCTTTAAGCAACGTTTGCGTTTACGTAGAATCACGATTATAGTGGTTGTTGGTGTTTGTGCTTAACTACTAAAAATTGTTTTCAGTTTGGAAACTGAAAAAATTACTCACATACATTTTGGAGCTCACAAGTAAGGATGAATAGGCGGCTTCAAACCCATGAGATACTCATTAGTTTATTCAAGTGTCCATTGTGTGTCTGCTCCGTGTTGAAGATTTTTTTGTTTGATGTGCTGGTATAGGAGCTATACTCTCATCATACTTCTGTTAGATAGAAACTGTCTATATCAATATATCCATATCTATATATAATAAAACTATATATAACATAATATATTAAGTTCCATAGGGATGAAAAATGAGAGGAAGATAAAGGGAAAGGTGTAATTTGGTGTAGCAGCTATCTTAGGTGTACCAGAGAGTATTGCTGTGTAACATCCTACTCAGATGTTCAGTGATGTTCATTAACCTTGGACTTCTTTACGTCCAGAATGCAGATAGGGCTGCACAGGTAGCTCCTTTCTGTTCTGCTCACACCTGTGGCCTTCTTCAAAAGACTTACTAGAAGGTAGCTGCTTAGAGAATAAAATTATCTAGAAGCAGCTTCACTCTTCTGTGTAACAGCTGCTGCTAGGTGTCCAGTGACATGTCATTGAGGTAGTTGACAGGAGCACTTATTGCCTCTCTGTGGCTCAAACTTCTTCAAAATGCCCAGGGTTCTTTGGCCTGAAGATCTAGAAGCAAATGACCTAGGAACCGATTAGAAGCAATCTTACACTCCCCCAATCCTACCCCTTTTCTCTTCTGTTTTTAATCTAGTAAACAGTTAAAAGTTCACTTTTTAAAACATACTTTCTTACTTTTTATAATTTGGTTACAATTCAAATGCCATATCATTTTTAAGTCAATAGTCTACTTTTAAAATTGTGCAGTTATCACTTCTGATTCTTAAATGTTTTAATAATTCCAAGTATGAGTTCACCTTTATTAGTTTCTCATCCTTTCTTTCTAGGCTCTCCTTGTAGCTTTTTCTGCATACTTCATGTAAATAAAATTAAATGACATGCAGCAGTGTAAATGTGGCTCTTTCCCTTAGCAAATTGTCTGAAGTTTCACCTATACTATTTACATTTTGGCTTTTAAGAAAATGCTGCTGAGATCATTCATGTCTTATCTCATTTACTGCTTTCTTTTTCATAAGGTCCACATCACTTTTGTCAGATGATTATTCCTTGAAGCAGCAGTAAAACTTCTTAGAATCACACAACAGATGCACAGATCAGACTCCCATTTCAGAGGAGCATGTGAGATGGGAACAAAATCTTCTACAGATAGATGGCTACTGAAAGGGACTGTTTATTCAGATATTTGAGTGCTAAAAAGCAGGAAACCAACACAGAGGAAGAGTTGCGCAGAAGATAGTCAAAAGGGGTACCTGTCAGAGTGCAGCAAGGCTAGTGTGGCTGATGTTACAGATAGAGGAGCCTTCCTTTGAGGAGTATGAGTAGGCTTTCTGTTATTAATCATCACTCTGTCCTTGTGGCATTTGGGATAACATGTGAAACTAACTTTTCATTTAGTAATCTTTACACACACAGCTAGGGGGTGATGTGGGATAAACAACAGTGCAGTGCTCTTTAAAACACCAAAACAAAAACCAAAAACACTTACTTTTAAGAGTGTCATCATATTACTCCTCCCTATATCCCAGGAGTATCAGGATTCTAATTAGAGTTGCTAGGCCGTAAAGCCTACCTTTTCATCTTTAATTATATGAATGATGGCTCAACAGGAATCGATATTAGAAGAAATAAGAGTTGAATAAATTATGTATGTATTAGCATGTTGCTTTACAGTATTAGTTTTTTTAAGCTAAGAGTTAACATTTCAAAAGGCTTAGTAATTATAAATAAGTGCTAATATTTAAAATATTGTACATTTCCAAGTAGTGTTGTCTTGCCAAACATGTAATTTTCTCTGTTGTAGAGGCTAGAGTTTAAAATTCTGTTTTTGTGAAAGACTTAAATAAAATTTTAGAAATGATGTTCTTATTTATTCAAATATAAGATCATATTTTCTGGACTAGTTTTGTGAGTGTCATGAAAACATATTCTTTGTTTTTCTGACATTCAGTTGCCCTTGCTATATATTTGTGATGAATGATGACATCCCAGATTTAGAATACTAAAATTAGTTATGTCACAATTAGGAGAAATTATTCTGGAGAAGATAACATTTGAGAAACAGATGATCAAATAAGAAACAAAAATACTATTTTCTCTGGAGATATTATCAATGCAAAGACAAAACCTAGAACTGAATGTAGAGAGCCTTGTTTCTAAGAGTTACCAATACTCATGAAACTATGTTCCTTTAAAAAGAAAAGCAGTGCTTTCTACATATTTGACATTTTATTGCATTAAACTATTTTCTGTGTTTGTGCATATATGCATGTGTGGCATGGGCTGCCATGTCATGTGGCAGTCAGTGGACAACCTCCAGGCTCTCACTCTCTCTTTACATCTTTTGAGTCCTGGGAATCAAACTCAGGTTCAGATTGTCAAGTTTTCAACAAGCACTCTTACCTCCTGAGCCATCCCCTGGCTGGCCCCTGCATAACTTTTTAAAGTATTAGTAAAGTATTAAAGCCTTTAAAAGGCAATTTGTTCAGCCAACTATGTTGATACAAAATGTTTTGTTAATTAAAATCTTATCACATTTATAAAAATAAAGTGATCATTACAGTTTTCTTTCTTTTCTTTTTTTGTAGATGACAAACTTTGAAATAACTAAGTTTCAAAAAAATAAATTATATGTCCTAAATGTCTATATCTTTTACTACATTTTGTTAAATCAGAGTACCTGGGGGGGTGTGCTTTCTTATTCTAGTCATCAGTTTTTGCATTTCATTGAAGAATATTCATTTTTGGAGTAAAGAAATACTGAATACTTACTAGATGTCAGGCATACAGAAACACTAGGAAATGATTTTCTTAACTATCTTGTAGTTTAGTAAGGTGATGGAGTATAGATCATATAGGTTTCTCTTCAGGAAAATAGTGTCTAGAATTACATATTACAGTGGAGGACAATGTCCTGGGGAGAGGTGGGACATGGGGATCCTAACATAGAATAGGAAGGGAGGAGGATGGACAAATGACTTGTGGTTGGAATGCAAAGGAACTAATTTTGGATATTTTGGTAAGAGAGTACCTGTGAATTGAAAGCCAGGGGTGATACTGTGGAATTTACAGGGTCAGCTAGAGAGATTATCTCATGCTGAAACTAGCCTTTCTCTTTACTTTCAGATGGTGTCTACCATTGTTTGAACCGTTCATTTTTATTCTGCACCTTATCGATGTTGATCTTGGCTTGATAGGAAAATGAGATCACTTAGACCTAGAGTGCATTTTTGACTTTTGCACTTGTGTAAGAATCACCTCAGCATTCTTACTTCTGTGCTTTGAGTACTGTCTGTACAGATTGTGGAGATCGTGTTGCAACCTTCATTTCAGCCAGGGTGCTCTTTTATTATTCAGTTAGTTCTGTTTGCAGTGGTTTGATGTTTAAAGGTGGATGGTGTATATTTCAAAGATTCCTCAGAAAGCATATGATACGTTATCTAAAGCCAGTTTAAGGTTTACATTTACGCAGACTCTATTATTATTATTATTATTATTATTATTATTATTATTATTATTATTATATCACTAGAAAAGATAAATCTTCTAGAAGAAATTCTATTAACTGAAAAATAACACCTAAATAAATATTTTATCTCTTAACCTCTTTTGATGAATAATGAACCTTGCAGTATAGTATCTTTAGTAGAAGCTTACTGGTAGGAAAAATAATATTTTTTAGGAGGTTACATAGACTAAGTTCTGACAGACCTGTAAACTAGGCATTTCATGAGCATCATCTCTGAAAAAACACATTGATATGTACAGCTTTAAATGAGTTCATTTTCCTTGTAGTCCAAGGAAATAAAATGAATCCATCAAAAAATTATGGAACTTAAGATGTCATGAGAGGATTTTGTTTTTGTAATCTGTGCTATGTTTATATTCCTATAAATTATAAAAGAAATTAGAAATCACATATAAACTCTTTTAAATTTCATTATTTAGTTTGGATCCTATTAAATCCAGATGATTTTATGCAGTGCTAATTATTTGGAGTCTCAGCTTTGCTCTTGAGTTAGCAGTACCTGCTCAACTTTCCAACTGTAAAACAGTTTGAAAATCAAATGTAGCTTACATGCAAGACCCAACAAAATTAAAAGTGTTAAGTGCGTTTTGGCAGTTCACTTTTATTGTGCCCAGTCCTCAAATGTACCAGCAGATAATCATCTGAATGTTAGTTATTTTTCACATGCTTATGTGATCACACAAAAAGTACATGCTAAAAAGAAGCAGATGGTGACAGATGGGCAAGGTTGAGGAAGGTGGTTTGGGGAACCCAGAGAAATGTACTTCTGTAATAGTGTAAAAATAAAACTATTTGAGAACCAACTTGGAAAAAAAAACACAGATTATAAAATTGACTTGATTTTTGAAAAATGTCTAGCTATGATTGCTGTAGAAAATGGAAATAGGAAATTTTATTTTGTCTTAAGTGAAAAAAGTCCTTTTTCCTCCACTGACTAAAAATGCAGTTTTTTCATTCACTCTTC